GGGGTCACAGTGCATACTATCATAATTGATTTTCTTTAAACCTCCTTCCTTTTCATACACTGTAATATGTCTATGTGAAGGTGGCGCACCATCCTCCGTCTCGAAAACAGCCGCAATTTCAGAGGCAGCTGGGTCATTGTAACGACGCTGATCTGCAAATGGCTCATGATAGAACCTCATAACAAAATTAAGAGGAACACGGTTCTCATTCTGTGCATGAAGTTTTTCCTCTTCTACTTTCTGGTGCATGGTTTTGTAAGATCGAACATAGGGGTTACATTTGTCTAACAAATTACTTAAATCATTTAGTGTATTTTTGTCTAAATTTAGGTTAGCATTGTGAGAAATCCTAATTTCATTAGATTTGGCGAAGTCAAGAATATATAACTGGCCCTAAGAAGCACTTTGTGAATCCTTGGGATATAAAGGCGAAATTAAGTGGTGGACCATGCCATGGATTCTGAAGGTATAAGGACCATAACTCGGAGGTAGGTCTACATTAGCACCAAAAGAAACAAACGACATTGCATTATTGTACTGCCTTAAATTTTCTCGGAAGTTTTTGGATTTTTCATCATTTCCAGTATATAGTTTTTTTATCTCCTCAGGAATTTTATTGGGTGGTAACTTAATTTTCCCATCATAGCAACACAAGGAAAAGATCCCCGATGTATTTTTTTCCGCTTTAAAATACAATGCAGAGCAATGTCTACACACTTCCTGAAGGCTCCCTACAGAGAAAGCACGTACATTTGGGATCTCTTCAGAAACGGCACATCGTGAAGACGGCTTTAAGAATGGTTTTTCAACGACAGTCTTTCTAGTAACATCGTCATCCCTCTCACGCCTCCCCGTTAAAGTTGAATTGCTCGTAGGCCTACGCTTCTTTGCAGGAACTGTGACCTCAATCTGATCCCCTTTATAATGGGATTGGGAAGGTATAACATTTTTGTCAGTACACCCAAGACTGTGCATTGGTGTTACGCATGAAGAACTGTCACTTTTATGTTTAAGGACGCTATAGTGTCCATCATCTAAATTACCTGTGAAGAGTAGGTTGTGAATTATACTACCAGAACCAAATTCAAGTATTGATTTAGTATGTTCAATGTGCACCTTAAATTTACACTCGTGAAATAATTCACCAGCACTGTTAAGTTCAACATGCCCTGCTTTTGTCCATTGGCGGACATCACAGTTTCGTAATCACTAACGTTCTTAATATAATGTCCATAAGAAGTGTCCCCAACTATGAAATATCTATATAAATTCCACTTTCTTATTACATCATCAACAATAACTGATCTTATTTCAGAGTGTCTATTTTCACTACCATGCAAACAGTAAGATATAGCACGAAATAAACAGTTTCCGTCACCAACAATAGGAATCATATCAAAAGTAGGAAAATTAGTCTTAAAAGAATTATTACTCACGGTAAGTTGCCCTATCTTTGATGAAGTAGCGTTGTGTGACATCGGTACTACATTAGACTCATTTGGAATCTTGTCTAAAAAGGCACAGCTTGAAGACGGCTTTAAGAATGGTTTTTCAACTAAAGTCTTTCTTGTAAAATTGACACCTCTCTCACGCCTTCCTGTTAAAGTCGAATTGCGCCTTCGCTTCTTTGCATGAACTGTGACCTCAATCTGATCAGCTTTACTATGGGATTGGGAAGGTACATTAGACTCATTTGGAATCTTGTCTGAAAAGGTACAGCTTGAAGACATCTTTAAGAATGGTTTTTCAACTAAAGTCTTTCTTGTGAAATTGACACCTCTCTCACGCCTTCCTGTTAAAGTCGAATTGCGCCTACGCTTCTTTGCAGGAACTGTGACCACAATCTGATCAGCTTTACTATGGGATTGGGAAGGTACATTAGACTCATTTGTAATTTTGTCTGAAAAGGCACTGATTGAAGACGTCTTCAAGAATGGTTTTTCAACTAAAGTCTTTCTTGTGAAATTGACACCTCTCTCACGCCTCCCTGTTAAAGTCGAATTGCGCCTACGCTTCTTTGCAGGAACTGTGACCACAATCTGATCCCCTTTATTATGGTATTGGGAAGGTATAACATTTTTATCAGTACACCCAAGACTGTGCATTGGTGTTACGCAAGAAGAACTGTCACTTTTATGTTCAAGGACGCTGTAGTGCCCATCATCTAAATTACTCATCGTAGATACAAATAAATTTGAGTAAACACACAAAAAGCAATAACTGGAAAAAAATAATATAACGAACAATAATAATCGACTCATTTACGTAATTCGCAGTTTCATCATAAATGCCACAGATAAAATCGTAAACGTGTTAGTAAACAAAACGAAAATGCATTTAAAATGTAAACACCTTATCGGTATTAAATAAATATTCAATCATATGTTCGAAAGACAGATGTAAATATTTTTTGAAGGAATCACAAATTTTGTCTAAGATAAGATATTGGAAAATGTTTTGAAACTAAAGTTCAGAGTCAGCTCAACTCAACATACCCTCCGCCCGAATAAAAGTATATAGCCCGATATTATACCGATAGCCCAAATAAAAGTAGATTATTTAGACAAAAACAAAACAAAAAACTAAACGAAACGAAAAAACGAAAGTTGATATCTATACTCAATTCTAATTACGTTATCCTATTTATTTTCATATAAGAACCTTCGGTAAAATTCCGGCATCATTTGTGTAATTAATTATGATTATTAAGATTGGCATAGTGCTGAATCACAAACAAACCAAATGGTTCCAAAATAGAATTACCTCAACAGTACCTGTTGATTTCGGCGGGTTTAACCTTGTATTTTTATTTTTTTTTTGTATTTTGTATATTGTATCTTAAACCGATGCTAGTTGTGAAATCTGGACATGCATAACTTCAATTTGAAAATTCAACCATGAAAATTGGTCGAGTAGAAGAGCCAAACGAACTGGGAAATGAAAAACTAAATTTAACTACCAATAGAGCAAATTTATTTTACGTATAATTGGGGGTTTGGACTGTAGCTACATATATTCCAATGCTTGATGGGACATCTGTGCGTACATACCCTCAATTTGAGACCTCAATCTTGAAAATCGGTCGGTTAGAAGAGCCAAACGAACTCGGAAAAGAGAAACAAAATTTAACTTCTATAAGAAATACATGGAGAGGAAATTTTTTTTACGTATAAACCAAGTGGGGTTATAGATAAATATTTGCCGATGCTTGATGGAAAATCTGTGCGTGCATACCTTCAATTCGAGACCTCAATCATGAAAATCGGTCGGGTAGATGAGCCAAACGAACTCGGCAAAGAGAAACAAAATTTAACTCCCATAAGAAATACATGGGGAGCAAACTTCGTTTACGTAGAAATCGCGTGGAATTATAGATACATTGATGCCAATGCTTGATGGCAAATCTGTACGTGCATACCTTCAATTAGAGACCTCAATAATGAAAATCGGTCGGGTAGAAGAGCCAAACGAACTCGGCAAAGAAACCCCAAATTTAACTCCCATAAGAAATACATGGGGAACAAATTTCGTTTACGTATAATCCGCGTGGGATTATAGATACATTTATGCCGATGCTTGATGGCAAATCTGTGCGTGCATAACTTCAATTTGAGACCTCAATCATGAAAATCGGTCGGGTAGAAGAGCCAATCGAACTCGGCAAAGATAAACCAAATTTAACACCCATAAGAATAACATGGGGAGCAAATTTCTTTTACGTATAAGCCGAGTAGGATTATAGATAACTATATTCCGATGCTTGATGGCAAATCTGTGCGTGCATACCTTCAATTTGAGACCTCAATCATGAAAATCGGTCGGGTAGAAGAGCCAATCGAACTCGGCAAAGATAAACCAAATTTAAATCCCATAAGAATAACATGGGGAGCAAATTTCTTTTACTTATAAGCCGAGTAGGATTATAGATAAATATACCCCGATGCTTGATGGCAAATCTGTGCGTGCATACCTTCAATTTGAGACCTCAATCATGAAAATCGGTCGGGTAGAAGAGCCAATCGAACTCGGCAAAGATAAACCAAATTTAACACCCATAAGAATAACATGGGGAGCAAATTTCTTTTACGTATAAGCCGAGTAGGATTATAGATAACTATATTCCGATGCTTGATGGCAAATCTGTGCGTGCATACCTTCAATTTGAGACCTCAATCATGAAAATCGGTCGGGTAGAAGAGCCAATCGAACTCGGCAAAGATAAACCAAATTTAACTCCCATAAGAATAACATGGGGAGCAAACTTCTTTTACGTATAAGCCGAGTAGGATTATAGATAAATATATGCCGATGCTTGATGGCAAATCTGAGCGTGCATACCTTCAATTTGAGACCTCAATCATGAAAATCGGTCGGGTAGAAGAGCCAAACGAACTCGGAAAAGAAAAACCAATTTTTTTTAATATATAAGATTAACTTAGTGGTCTTAGAAAGTGAAAAGTGTAACTTAATCAGGTGATTTTCATATTGCAGAATCAGAGTTAGCTAATTAAAGTTGTCCCTTCCATTTGCTTGACTATGATTGAAAACAATCAGCTGTTGGCTTACTTAACCCATAGTTCATTCCACTTGTAAATGTCATCCATCCTACCTTGTTTATTGTAATGTTGTATATTAATACGGCGATATCTTGAGAAATTATCATCAGCTGTGAAAAATAATGGTATATTTGGATTCAGGAGGTAAAAAACTATAAAGTAAGATATCAAAATTAAAAATTTGTTTGGAGGCACCTATACGGAATAATTACCGATTTTTTTTGCAACACAAGACAGATTAAAAATATTTCAACAATTTTTGTTTGAAAAAATCTGTGCCCGTGTTGGCGCCCCTAACAACTGGCGCCCGGGGCTCATGCCCCGCGTGCCCCCCCCCCCCCTAGTTACGTCCCTGGTTCCTACTCTTCTTGTGAGTGAAATGTTTGTGTATTATCACAGTTATTAATCCCTGGAACTGATTTGAATTGTCACTCTTCATTGCAGAGAAAGTAGTGGCATGGAAAAGACCTATATCTGGTTGCAGAGAAATGTGTGATGTGTGCAATACAACCTTGTTCAACTTCCACTGGACCTGTAAATCATGTGGATTTTCTGTGTGCATTGACTGCTACAAGGTAATCCATCTCTTTTAACTTTTTTTGTAACAAGAAAACTCTCAAATTTAAAAATGTCCTAATTCAATATCAAAGTTTTCAGTAAAGGTTAGTTAAACAAAATTTTTTGTATCCACCCATTTTCAACAATGGGTAGTGAACGTGTGGGAACCCACAGCTATTTTCAATAAACCTATACATTAATAAAAACATGCAAGTAATTTTTCAGGCATTGGTGATATTTACACACTAGAAAATTTACAACAACCCTGTTGCTTATTGGATTTTGTAAAACTTGGATAAAGCTTTTTCTAAAAATACCTCTAAAAATCTTGGTGTTTGAAAGATTGGAAAGATTTATGTTAAAATCCTTGAATTAAGCTATTTAATTTTTTTAATGGTGTAAAAACCAATAAAGTGGCAAAATGTATTGAACAAACATTTTTTAGCAAATTTAAGTTATAATCAGTCAAACAAATCTAATAATTAATTAACAAACAATAATTGATTCATTTCAAGGCAAGAAAAGGCGTCACATCTGACTGGATGAAAGTCGAAAGACCTTGGTTGATTTGTGTCAATAAAAAACCTCACGACCAGGATAAGCTCATGTTAACACAAATAATTCCATCAGATGCTTTGAGAGATCTCAAGGAAAAAGTTCAAAAGATTATGCCATGTTTGGAGTTTTCTTCAGACATTTCTGATCAGCCATCATCCAATGCCAAGATGTCAAGGGATTACCAACATGCTGACCTTGAGGTATTCACCTTACATTACATCTTACATAAAATACAATAAAACCTTAATGTAATTCCGTTTGCTATGATTGTGTGCCTTAATAGATCTCCTACTAATACCTACTTATATTCTTTGCCAATCAACTGTGTGAATAAACTAGTCAGAAATTTGTTGTGTATTTCAAGACCATGGGTGATAAACACACACCCATCAACCTATTAACCCACTGGCATACGGACCCTGTTGCTAATGCGCTCTGGCATTTCTAGATGGAACTGTTCTGTCCTGGGACATTGCTACCAGTTCAACCTTATTCCGAGGGAGCCCAGCACTTAATGGGACAATATTTTTTCTGTCTATCTGCAATAGTTATTCTGTGTATTTTTAGTTTCATTGGTTGCCTAACCTGGTTTGAGGTTATGTTTTGCATCAAAATGCCGCAACTGTCTTGTTTACCATTGAGTGAAACAGACTGATGAATAGATAATTGTGAATTAATTGTCTTCCAATCTTTTTGAGGAGGAAGATAATAATAAAAAAAATAAATACAAAAGAGGTTTGATAATAATGCCCTAGTGCCTACAAGCTCTGAAAAACCTAATACAAAACTGCCTATATAACTGTATCTAATATACAGATCTAAAGCAATATTTTAATTTTCACACATCAAATTACTTAGTGTAAGGCAAGTTTTTGTGAGTTAGTGGCTCAGATGGATGTGCCTTTAAATCCAAGGCAGCAAAATCGTGGCTTTGGGTCTTGCTGCCATTAACATTTATCAGTCAATTCAATTCACTTTATTTATTCAATACAACACAATGACAAAAGGGCATTATAACACTACATAAGCCTTATAAAATGCTTGTCCGTAGCATTTCTTGATTTCACTTAAATGTCTTTTACATGCATCTCGTTGAGTCAGCCATAATTTAATAGTTTTCTCTTCCTTAACAGTAACAAAGCTTGAACCAACAAATTTTACAACTAAATAACATGAGTAGAGTTCGTGCGTTTCTTCGTGAAGCCTGGGTGTGAGGCACCCCCAGGCCCACTTGGCTGTAGTGGCAAGTGGGGAGCCGAGTGCAAGAGGGGAAGTTGACGTCGTCATCCTATTCTGATACTAGTCTGACTAAAGACATTTTTCGGAGTTCGTATCGCGGTGCGGAGGCGGTTCAGGTTGCTCGCACGACAGTTGTGTGATGAGTATTTTCAACAAATATCTAATTTTTTACCTAATTAAGAGGAATGAGTGAAAATTTAAAAACGTACGTTTTCAGGAAAAGCACTTTGCAAATTTTTTCCCCCTTTTTTCAAAATTTTTATTATTATTTTTATTTCATTAACATTTTAAGTTTCATAAAATGTCCATGGTAACGCAATAGCTTTGGTAGTTTTCTTTTTAAAGAGCATCTTTAGTAGAAAAACACAAAATCCTGTCACGACCATAACGGACGTTTAAATGAATATTAAAAATAGTTAATATTATTTTTATAACTATGTTTTACTATAAACTAATTTACTTTTATGACCATTATACAATAAAATGGTCACTGAGCTTTTGGTATATTTGGTCTTTCTAGAAAAAAATTTAAAAAACTCAAAAAATAGAAAAAAGCCAATAAAATCTTTTTAAGTTTGTATAATTCAGAAAAAACTTACCTGAGACCCGAAAAATCGTTATGTATGTATAGAGGTGTGCTTCTTTTGTGTATAAAACACTGAAATATGACGATATTTTAATTTTTGAAATTTTTATGATAGAAATCATAAACGTGATGGTCAGGGACAAGCGGTACGGTCGTGAATTGTCTGGAAAAATCTAAATCTTTCCAAACAATCCTTCAATTATACTGTTAGTTATAATAAAACTATGTGTTTCAATATAAGTTTTTTCAATATAAGTGTTTCAAGTTATTGTCACGACCAAACACATTATAATCCATAAGGCTGGATTGGTCGTGAAAAAAACCGCGATGGTCGTGAAACTTTGGTCGTGAAATTACGTGTTATTTGGCTCTGTTCTGGCGGTAGCCCTGCACCTCATGTTCGAGGATACAAAGTGGACTTCTAGGTTGATCTAGCAATTGAAATATCTTATAAACAAAAATTAACACCATGTCTACTTCATCGAATGACTACGTACGGTCATGGACACACCAAAATTACAAAAAACACAATCTTTCCTTTATTAATCTTGTAATTCCTCCTTTAAACTCAAAACGACCGGCACTACAATCCTGACGTACACCCCGAACTAGTCTCTAAAACCAACTGACTCCATCGACGCCAGGCTTGCCACTGTCGTGCTCCAAAGTTGAAAATTTTTCCCAAATGGTCATGACGCCAAATCGAGGGACAGACTTATTTTGTCACGGTAGTCAGTCTGCAATGACAATAAAATTATAATATGCTCCTTTTTTGTATGTTTAATAACCATTGATCACATAAAAATATGGCTTTATATATTTCGGCATGAATAATTAGTCTAAAAACAGCGTGAAAGTTGGAAAATGTACCCTAGGGACACGTCATGGTCGTGAATTTAGAGACTTTAAAAATACGAAAAAAATACCTAGAACCTATTTAAAACTAAATAAATGTGTGTAACATGTTGCCGCCGTCCCAAAAAATATTAAAACACATAATAATAAACTACAAATCCAGTATCTACGAAGTAAAAGGCCAGGGACATGAAAACGTACAATTTTAAATTTTCACTCGAATATGAAAATGTTTATGAACGGAGGACAGCATATTTTATAAAATTCTCTATATTAAAATTTAGAGTAGGCTATTTTTTTTTAATACTCCAAAATGTACTGGTTAATGAGCCAGAGATTTTTCGTGGGCAAAAGCAAGTACAAATAATGCATTAGTATTATACGGAACTATGGCTTAAACGAAAATAAAAAAAAAATTGTATTTTCATACCACTATAAACTTAAAAATAAACCAAATAAGTTTTAAGATAATCGAACTGGCATCCCGAATGTTTTTGAAAAAGAGTGTATCTGCGATGTTGCTCGGACAGGTTGAGAGTGCAGACTGATTTTCGGCGTACCCCCACCCCTACAAAACCGGTTCAGAGCCACTCTAACCACCGACCCCCAGGCTTCACCAAGAAACGCACGAGCTTTATAAGTATAAACATATATAAAATTGAAACATAAAAATAGTTGGGCAAAGAAAAACAGGAACAAAATCGATATAAGTAATACTGTAATATTTTACCTAAAACTACTTAACTTAACATGACTATAACAAGTTTTAAAATTTAATATCAACAGTAACAAGTAATTAGAATCAACAGTAACAAGCTCATTCTTGTACCGATGTCGCACACCTCTTCATACATTCCATGCCCAGGCAAAAGGTCTATGTGGACAGGCTTGTGCAAGGTTAAAAGATACTGCCAACCTCTTTTGAGACTATAATAAATTATGTGATATATTTATTTGTTATTGTTACCAAACGGAGCGAGCTGGTCTAGTGGTGTGAGTGCGGGGCTTCGGTCCCTATGAGGTCCCGGGTTCAAATCCCGCCAAGTCACCAATGGATTTTTTTCTCAGTGGTATTGCCACAACCCCTAGGTCTAGCCTTAAGTAATGTGGAAAAACAATCCTGGGCTCGTGCCTAGCCTCCTAGGAGAAAAAAATTGTTAATAAAAGGCCAATTCTGGCTCCAGTTTTAAAATCTTTTTGTGTATGCAATGAAAGTTTTATACTGTCAGAATGACAACCTAATACAGCATCTTAACTACCATGTAGCAACAAAAATATTTTAACAACTTATTACAATGTGTCTTTCATTATTAGATAGCCTACTTTAATTATTAACTAACTCACATACTGGTATTTATTTCAAAGGCTTCCACAACCAATACAGAAGACTATTTAGGAACATTTTATGAGAGCTTAAGAAAGAAACTACGCATAACACATCTTGATAATCCATCTCCTGAAGTAGTTTCTTGCAATAGTGAAGTGAAAGAAGTGAAGCAATTGGACCCAGCTCTGCCGAGAGTAATGACCCACACAGTGAGCAGCTTGATGTATCCTGATAGTCCTCACACCTGGTTGTGTCAGGGCAGTTTACTCCTGCTGACGGATCCCAGTGCTGATACCAACTATCCCATCTTCCAGGTAACCATCAATGTATAAGGGATCATCACAACACACTAATCCGACACTCATCTTTCATTCACATGTGGTTTTAAATGTGCCTAGTATTTTTCTATCTGAATAAATAGCCATCACTGAGTGTGACTGTACTATTTTATCTCTTAAATCTAATAAGACTTTCTTCAAAGGTAATTTGTAAAGAGAGACATTACTTTTAGAAATGAGTTAACTAGATAAATCCGTAGAGCTACAACTAAAACCTAATAAAACCCTCTAGTTCACCTCTTTTGTTGCCAATTCGTTTCTTTGAGTTTTCATAAGCGAATTAGCCTTTTTTCATTTCCTTTCAGATTAATATATTTAATAAATTGTTATTAACTCTCCCTTCATTAAATAAATTGATTGATTCACAACCTGAGCGGTAAATTAACAAACCTATGAGTAATGAATTAGCGTTTTTCTTGTTTTAAGCCATATTTACACCAAACCAGTTAACCTGTCTGCCTATTGGCCTTGTGTAAACATGATTTAATTTATATGTTACTGTATAAATAATTGAGCGGAGCGAGCGAAGCGAGCGAAGCGAGCGAAGCTCTTTGGGATCAACTTCAATGCAAACAATATAACACCATCACTCAATAACGGCTGAACACATTTCAGCCAAACTTAACAAGACTACTTAGACTAATAATGAGATGGTTTGTAAACAAACAAATTTCAATTAGATAATGCTAATGCAATTTAAAACGAACTTAAATTTTTAAATTTTTAACATTAGGCTTATGGGACTAAAGTAGCTATGACAGTTTTTTTGTTTACAAGAAAAATGTAAACAAGAGAATCATAAGGTATTTCTGAACTTTCTATACTTTTCTTTTAAACGTTTTTAAACCATTCCTATGATTTTAATAAACAAGAAAATGCCATTATAACATTTTTTTAAGGCGTGGAATTCACTGAAAATCGAGAAAATATACGGAACTACTTTCTCAATGCGCGGAGCATAAACAAGGAGCGGAGGGATACGGACCAGTGACTACTTTCTTGGGAACCTATTTGTGTTGCCAGCTGATTAGAAACAGCCAATGTTAGAAATCAGGATTTAATAAGCGATATATCGAACCACATCGAAATCGGTATTTAATCCGATAATACATCACAGATTATATTATGTTGAATTACATCGACGGTGCAGTAAGTTATTACACTTATTAATAAAACGCAGATTGAACACTGATCTAATTTAGGCATGTGGGGAAGGTAGGTCGGGGTTTATGAGTACTCGTGACTACATTAAATGTTTTGAAGTAAGGTTAGATTAGGAAGGTAAAGTGTAGGTTATAGGTAGGTGATCGAGTTGTTTATTTGTGTTGCACCATATAATTTTAATCTTTTGGAATAGTTGGTTAAATGGGGAAACGATTTCAAAAATGTTTGCATATGGTCTTAACAAAAGAACATTTGGATTTGGACCTTTGCCCATAGCAAAACTAACATATAATTTATGAAATGTGAAAAGTTGTAGTCTACATCATTAAATACTATTCTGTAATATTAATAATTGTTCGGCAAATCCTCATTTTAATGGCTCGGCTGAAATGGAATCTGCATTTTGTGAAACAGTAATTTGGTAACAATTCAGTAATTTCAAATGTTGATAACAGTAGCCTATCCTATATAAATACTGTTATTTGATTGCCAAGCCACGGACTATACATACGTCCAGTTATAACCGTAATAAGTAAATAATTAATTACCTGGACTTATAGAAGTACACTTTTAACCACGGTTATCTTTGACTATCAATACAACTAGACATTCCATCCCCATGTTAAATTTATAGCCAGCTTTTTCATCAAAATCTTCTGTATCCAATGGTCAATGGTTTTATTAAGGCCAGTATTAAAATGCCGTCTCTAAATCGTCCCAATAATGGTGGAAGACCTACATTCCAGTTACATTACAATCATATCAAGAATACTTGGTATTAACAATCATAAATTATTTTCAGCAAAGAAAGCTGATTTTAACCGATTGCAAGGGTTGAAATGAAGACCAATGTTTATGTTGCACAGTTGAATTTAAATGTCAAATTTTCCCTCCTGATGTTATACTTTAATACTCACGTGTTTTTTAAATAGTTACTGTTTTTTATACTTAAATACTTTAAACCGATTGTAAGGGTGAAAAATGAACACCAATGTTTTTGTTGTAGGCTAAAGTTGAATTTGAATGTTAAATTTCCTTTCTCTTTTTTATACTTTAATGCCCTTTTTGGATGTTAATATCAGATTCCAACTACCGTAATATTTTCCTGGTCAAAACTACCAATGCACTTCTGGAAGAGGTGTCTGAATAACAAGATGTAGTAAAAACAAATTTGAATTATTACAATTATAATCAATAAAACAAGCATTAATACATCTATTGACTTTTTTACATTTAGTTACTTATACAAATATCAAATCACGTTTGTTCCGCTCAACTGGCTTTCACCTCTCTGAAAGCAACCCTAGTAAATATAAATACTTGTCAGGATCAATGGAGGCGAGGACAGCCTGTGTTGGTGAGTGGTTTGTTGAAGTATCTCAATGAAGATCTGTGGAAACCAGACTCATTCATAAAAGATTTTGGAAGTAAGAAGAACGACTTAGTGAATTGCTTAACAGGTCAAGTAATACCTGGCCAGTACATGAGCAAGTTTTGGGAAGGTTTTCAAGAAGTAAATAAAATGCTTAAAGACGACCAAGGCGAAGCAATGCTATTGAAGCTGAAAGACTGGCCTCCTGGAGAAGATTTTGCAGAAATGTTGCCATCAAGGTATTGAATAATTGATCTGTACTTAATATTTATTTTGCTAAGTTGTCTTGTTAAACCAACATCCAATCAAATGTTATTCTCCCATCTTAAAATAGAGTTGAGTTAATAATTAAACAGTGGTTGGGTGGGTGTTAGATTATTAAGGGTCAGATTATTAATTTCACACAAGCTACTGATGCTCTAAAGATTTTTTTAGTTAGAAAAATACCCTATGTGATATCGAAGAAAACTGTAGTAAAATTATATTCATTTTTGTTGTTTTGCTACAGGATTGAGTGAAAGGGATTTATGTACCAGTTCTTCTTCGGCTGCAAAAGTAACTCATGTTCTATGGGTGGACTCAGCATTTTAAAAGGGGGCGGCTACTTTCAAATAATTTCATTTGGGGTACTTAAGATAACCGGGGATAGTTTGAGCGTTATAACTGGAAAATGCATTTTAAGGCAATCTCGAGACTCACCATCATGTAAAATTCTTACCTCACAAAGCCTACTTCTTAATTTATTATCTACATTATTTATATATATACATATATATATATATATATATATATCACCCCAAAGGGATCCGCCTATATCATGCACATACTAACACGTTTTTGGCCTGAAAAATTTACAGAGAAATCAATCCACAGGACATTGTTTTAATCTTGTAAATGTTACATATAATGCTCAGGCACATTTTACCCATGAAAACTTGGAAGACACACAGATATAAACTTGTACTTAAATTTACAAGTGAACTCCAGTGACTGGAAACGGTCCTCAAGGAGGGGCTGGGTGTGATGGAAAATGTGTATGGAAATCAAGGTAACTGGGTGAGTTACATCTGAAATTGAAGAGAATGGGGTACGTTAACTACTTCTAAAACTTTATATTACTACACAGTAAAACACCTCATTTCAATATCAATATTGGAACCAGAGCCTTTTCAAGTAATCAAAAGCTCGGTTTGTTAAACTTTTTTTAGTAGGCTACGTAATGACGTGTTATGAATAGCTGGGTGGTTTTTGTGCTCACCCTCAAATTTTAAGTTTGATCTTGAGCGGGTTTGATTCTGGCCTTGGATGCCATTGGACATTGTGCTATCAATCAATTAGCAAAAGCCTACGGTGGCTCAAATACAAGTGCTATTCAGAAAGTAGATTGTGTTTATGTCTGTATTCCCAAAGGGGCGAGGCTAGCACGGCCATCTTGGTGTCAATTCGTTAAACAGCTCAGTCGGCATCTAGTGGTGCTAGTGAGAGGGTGCTGCTGTACTCCATTGAGTGACTGTGATAGTTTAAAATGTCTGTGTGGATGGAAAATGCAGCAAACTGTGAAGTTTGTGGAGGAATAAGGTTTCTGACTGCAAAAATACTGTAAACCAATAGAAATCTATCGGCAACTGTGTGAAGGGTATGGGGAAAACATAACCACTGAGGGTGGAATGCGTCATTGGGTCTTACAATTTTTTAAATGGCCAAACTAATAATCATGAAGAAGAGCGAAGTGGAAGACCCAACATAGTGACTGCAGAAAGTGTCGAAAAAGTCAATGCCGAAGTCCATAAAATTTGAAAAATCACAATAACGGTATTCTCTATGGGTTTTCCACAAATTTGGCGAAATTTGTTGCACGTGATCATTATGGAAAAGCTTGATTACCACAAGTTTTGTGCAAAATGGGTACCAAAAATCTTGACAGAGAGACATAAAATAATATGTGAATGGCTGCAGCACTAACGTTTCTGGACACTTACGATAAAGATGGTGACTTACTTCTTGATTGCATCGTTACTGGTTCAACAAAACATGGTTCAAACATGTGAACTGCGAGACAAAATTGCAGTCAATGCAGTGGGGGCACACAAATTCCCCCCAACCCAAGAAAAGCATGCAAATGATGTGGGCAAGGAAGGTGATGGCGACTGTTTTTTTGGATAGGGAATGTGTTATTTTGTGAACTTCCTAGAATGAGGCACAACAATAAACTCTCAAAGGTATTGCCAAACTCTGCAAAACCTTAGAAGAGCGATACAAAACAAGCGCAGGGGAAAGCTAAACTCAAAGATCCTGCTGATTCACGACAACTCCCGGCCTCTTGGCAAATGTCACTCGCGAAGTTTTTGAATCTTTTAAGTGGCATTTTTTCCTCATCCGCTGTACAGCTACATCCTTTCACTTACTCCCAGCTATTAAGTGGCTTGGTTATGTAGCGTTTTGATGACGAGAGAGGGGGAGGGTGTTTTCAAGATCATCAGGTAGTGCACTAACAAATATTTTTCCAAATTACCAAAACTATAAAACTATTAAAAAAAACAGCATTTTTGATGGAAATATTTTAAATGCCAGTTTCCATTTTTTATTTTTTTTTTTTTTTTGTCAGGAACTGATTCTAGTTCTAAAACCCCTGACCAACTCCTAACTCTGATCTTCCAGTTGTAGAGGACATGAGAGAATGGATTTCGGTCACACTGGGTTGAATGCGATGGCAAATATGATAAATTTGAATATTGTACTATTAATAAATTACCTTAATGTAAATTTTGTAAACCGTTAAAAGACATTAGAAAACAAGAGAAGTGTTAAGTATACAATTGCTAATTTTTTAAAATATGTTTATTGTAAATGTTGGTCTGTTTTATTGATGAGTGAAAATTTAAGTACGTTTTCAGGAAGAGCACTTTGCAAATTTTTTTCCCCTTTTATCAAAACTTTTATTATTTTTTTATTTTATTAACATTTGAAGTTTCATAAAATGTCCATGGTAACGCAATATCTTTGGTAGTTTTTTTTTAAAGAGCATCTTTAGTGGAAAAACACAAAATCCTGTCACGACCATAACGGACGTTTAAATTAATATTAAAAATGGTTAATATTATTTTTATAACTATGTTTTGCTATAAACTAATTTACTTTTATGACCATTATACAATAAAAAGGTCACTGAGCTTTTGGTATATTTGGTCTTTCTAGAAAAAAAGAAAAAAACTCAAAAAATTGAAAAAAAGCCAATAAAATCTGTTTAAGTTTGTATAACTCCGAAAAAACTTACCAGAGACCCGAAAAATCGTTATGTTTGTATAGAGGTGTGTTTCTTTTGTGTATAAAACATTGAAATATGACGATATTTTAATTTTTGAATTTTTTTTTTAGAAATCATAAACGTGATGGTCAGGGACAAGCGGTACGGTCGTGAATTGTCTGGAATAATCTAAATCTTTCTAAACAATCCTTCAATTATACTGTTAGATATAATAAAATTATGTGTTTCAATTGAACTAAACTGTTCAATTTACAATTATATTAAAGTTATTGTCACGACCAAACACACTATAATCCATAAGGCTGGATTGGTCGTGAAAAAAACCGCGATGGTCGTGAAACTTTGGTCGTGAAATTACGTGTTATTTGGCTCTGTTCTGGTGGTAGCCCTGCACCTCATGTTCGAGGATAGAAAGTGGACTTCTAGGTTAATCTAGCAATTGAAATATCTTATAAACAAAAAATAACACCATGTCTACTTCATCGAATGACTACGTACGGTCATGGACACACCAAAATTACAAAAAACACAATCTTTCCTTTATTAATCTTGTAATTCCTCCTTTAAACTCAAAACGACCGGCACTACAATCCTGACGTACACCCCGAACTAGTCTCTAAAACCAACTGACTCCATCGACGCCAGGCTTGCCACTGTCGTGCTCCAAAGTTGAAAATTTTTCCCAAATGGTCGTGACGCCAAATCGAGGGACAGACTTATTTTGTCATGGTAGTCAGTTTGCAATGACAATAAAATTATAATATGCTCCTTTTTTGTAAGTTTAATAACCATTGATGACGTAAAAATATGGCTTTATATATTTCGGCATGAATAATTAGTCTAAAAACAGCGTGAAAGTTGGAAAATGTACCCTAGGCACACGTCATGGTCGTGAATTTCGAGACTTTAAAAATACGAAAAAAATACCTAGAACCTATTTAAAACCAAATAAATGTGTGTAACATGTTGCCCCCGTCCCAAAAAATAATAAAACACATAATAATAAACTACAAATCCAGTATCTACGAAGTAAAAGGCCAGGGACATGAAAACGTACGTTTTTAAATTTTCACTCTGATAAGATTACTTCAAAATAATTAAAAACATTTTTTTTTACTTTAGGAAAAATGTTTACCTAGATTTTATACAAGAACAAGAAAAGAAGCAAAAAAGTAGTGAATGCTACATTTACTGCCATTACAAATATAACTTGCCTTTGCTACAGTTTAACAAAAGTAGCAATGCTACATTTACTGCTACTACCCAACACTGCAAGGCAATGTGCCAAGATGAAGCTTTGATCATACTGCAGCTGGGCAATCTACCAGGAAGACCAATGAAACCATGAAAGAACAATCATTGACTATGTGATTCAAACTTCATTCACATCACAGATATAAGACAGATTGTCTGTGATTCTCCATTTTAACATCCAGTAGTAACATCAATCTACCTCATAGCAAAATCACTAGCATAATAGTGGTGTTATCTTTGAACTTTATGAGTAGAATAGAAACATTGTGACTTGTGGTGCTCGTTACTTGCACATTGCTTTTCCAATGTCCATAATAATGAATCTGTAAGAAGTTTGTTGCATTATTGTTGGATCTTACTTAATATTTCAAGAGTGATTTTTAATTATAAGATCAAATAAGAACCAATTTATTAATAACTAACAATTTCTCAAATGAGAGGTGAATGGGTGTAATATAAATTTTTTACGTAATTTAGGTTTGAAGACTTGATGGCAGCACTTCCAGTTGGAGAATACACCAAACGCACAGGACAGTTGAACCTACCTGCCAGACTGCCAAAATATTTTGCAAGACCAGATTTAGGACCAAAGATGTACATAGCATATGGATCTGCTATACATCCCACTAAAGGAACTACAAACCTTCATCTAGATATATCTGACGCAGTTAACGTCATGGTATACGTTGGAATCCCAAAAGACATCAATAGAGATAAATTCATCAAAGGTAAGGTAACATTTTTATAGTTTTCTGTAAAAAAATGATATTGCTTTCTGGTTCAATGTTACACATATAATTTATTCTCTAAGTAAAAATAAAACTATCATACACAAACTAATATGTTTACATCATTGTATTCAAAAGATTTATTTAATAATAGCATTGTTATTGAGTTTATTTTTGCATTTAGAGGCATATCAAGCCATAGATGAGGCTTGTGTGGAGGTGCAGATGAGACGAAGAGTGAGAGTAGAAATGCCTGGTGCTATATGGCACATCTACTCAGCAAGAGATGCAAACAAGATACGCCACCTACTGTCTAGAGTGGCTAAAGAGCGCAAGATCAAGCTGGGTCGTCACCAGGACCCCATACATGACCAGAACTGGTACCTGGACGCAGACCTTCGTGACAGGCTGTACAGAGAGTACCAAGTGAAGGGCTACGCCATCGTGCAGTGCCTGGGCGATGCTGTCTTTATCCCAGCGGGAGCCCCACATCAGGTGCATTGTTTTATTGAGTTTCTTAGAGGAATATCCTTAAAAATAATTTCTAAAAATAGTTTTTAACAATTACAATACATAGACACACTTTAAAATCTTTATTTTCAAAATATTATAGTAAAATGACGATAAAAAAATATTCAAAAAGAATTATGGTAAGATACCTAGACTTTATCTGAAAGCAAGTAACAGATTTCGACTTTGAGGGAAATTTCTCAAAAAAAAATGAGCGCCTACAAAGGTGGGTATTAATTCACTACGTTCTGTAAGGTTTTAAACAGTTTGTAGCGACACATAAATATGTTTTAAGATTTTCCTCTGACCCCTAGAACAAGATAACTTAGCTCCCACCTTAGAAATTTCTTGCAAGTGCTTAAGTTACAGTTTATACGGAAAAAGGTTTTTTCTAACATTGTTTTGAACAAGTGAAGGATGTATTTAAATATTGAAAATAAAGGTCAATTCCTCATTCCTAAAACAGAAAATGATTCTGTGTTTGAAGTTTTTATTTTATAATTCCTTCAAGGATTTTTAGTAACTTGATTTTTCAACAGTACATTTCTCTGTGTGTTTTGGTTGTTTTTGTGATTTTTCAACTTTGGCTGGGTTTGTGTACTGATCTTATATTTTAGGACTTTAGGTAAGTTACTTAGTAGATTCCAAATCACAAAATGTTGTTAAACAACTTTTTTTGCAAATATGTGATGGTGATGGAACTTGTCTGCAAAAAACTCTTTAATCGATGGTGGTTCCAAGGGTGAGGTGTATAGGTGTTAATCTCCCCTCCCTCCATTGGATCCTGGAAAAATCAATTTAAACATATATTTCTTCTTAAAAACATAGGTGATGGAGGTTTTTGGACACAGTTTTAGAAACATAAAAATGACTTTAGAAAGCCATCAAACGGCTTTTAAAATATCAAGCCGCAGGCGAGTGTGGAAAGTTCCTTGACTGCTGCCACAGAAAACGTACTATTATACCCAGAATGCCAACCGCATGGTAAAAAGCATTAAGCGGTTTGAGAGAGCTTTGCCTGTCAATCCGTAGGCAGCGCCACCAGCGTTGCAATGCTATTGCATGGCAACGCTGGTGGCGCTGCCTACGGATTGACAGGCAAAGCTCTCTCAAACCGCTTAATGCTTTTTACCATGCGGTTGGCATTCTGGGTTATAGTAGTACGTTTTCTGTGCTGCTGCAAAGGCACTTTGCACTTGCATTACACATTATATTTTTCCTACAGTTACTAAAAACAAATAATTAGTTTTTCAAACCCTATGCAACACATTTTAGGTCAGGTTAAATCCAAACATTAAACAAAATGGGAAATGCTGCATCAGTTGATCATAGTCAATGTATCTTTAAGTGTTGCTAATTTATTTTCAAGCCTACACATATTACTTGCCAAGTAAAAGTACACTATTTTATGTTTTTGGATGAAATACTGGAGTGCAGCAAAAAATAAGTGCGGCAAAAAACAAATAACTATGATAGTGGTTTAAATACCTTATTCTTGCAATCCAATTGTTGTCTTCACAACTAGTTTCAACCTGCTAGGAGGTCATCATCAGGTGAGTACAAGGATGATATTACTTCATATGAAGGTCGTCAGTAGCAGTTTTATCACATTCACACAAACACACGACGAATAAACACATAGTGCGCACACATATACGGCCGATAAAAACATTAAACTCGACAAGCGGACCCGTGTTGATAATGCGGAAGTTGCGTCTAGACTGTAGGGTAAACAGCTGGTCAAGCATCACGCGCATTTTCTTATCGCTCGTCGGTTCCATTCCCATTGTCTCTGCCCTCCCCTTCCCTCTCCAGTATTTCTATTGCAGTGTTGTATATGACGTTTGAATTAAAATAAAGTTGGTCGTTTAAAACATTATCCATGTCTGATTTGACGGCTCTATATATCTCGAATTCTTCCAGGGTGTTAATTTTAAACTTGTCCTGTGACGTATGTAAAATTTTTATGTTTTCATTAATGCTGCTGTAATTATGCTGATGAGTAATTAAATGTTCGGCAAAGGTTGAAGTTTGTTTTGAGGTGGTCTTCTTTGGTACGTGCTCCTTAAAGCGTTTGGAGAAAGAGCGGGAAGTTTGGCCTATGTAATACTTACTACAATCTGAACAGTTGATTTTGTAAACACCACTTTTTTCATATTTAAGTTTAGTTGTATTTGGTCTTTCTTTCAGAAGTGGTCCCAGATTGTTTTTTGTTCTAAAGGATACTGTTATGTTATTTTTCCCCATTAATGATTTGAATTTATTACTAAGACATGAATTATAGTCAGCTGATAAGAACTTTTTATTTTGGTTCACTCTTTCTGTTTTGTTTTGGTGTTTCAAAATTAATTTATCTATTAACGTGGTCGTGTATCCATTGGAGACGGCAATGTGTTTTATGATGTTTATCTCTTCGTTGTAATCGTCCGTGCTCATTGGAATTGATAACAATCTATTTACAAAACAATGATATGCGGCTAATTTCTGTGAAAATGGATGGTGTGAGTCTGAATGTATTGTTTGGTCGGAGCAGGTGGGTTTTCGGTAGATTTTAAACTGTAAGCTGTCATTATGTTTTGATATGGTAAGGTCCAGAAAATTAATGGAATTATTTTTCTCCTCTTCTAATGTGAACTTAATATTATTGTGAATATGGCATAAATAAGCATTTAGAAGGGATAGCTGTCTGTTGTTACCATTGAACAGGACAATGGTATCGTCTTCATATCGATAGTAGAAAATTATTTTGTTCTTATATCGGTTGGAGTCAGTAAACAAGTGCTGGTTCTCGATGTGGTTTAAGAATACTTCAGAAAGAATGCTGGAGAGGGGGGAGCCCATGGCTAGGCCGTCATTTTGTAAGTAGAACTTATCTTGAAACTGGAAGTAGTTTTGTTTTAATATCGTATTTAACAGTGAAATTAATTCATTGATGGCGTTGGGTGACAATTTGGAATTTTTTTGAAGGTTTTGTTCAAGAATCTGCACGGTTTCTTTGACGGGTACATTCGTGTATAAATTAACAATATCAAAAGATGCCAACTTATAATTTCCGCTAATTTGTTGATTTTTTATTTTTTCAACGAGTTCAATACTGTTCTTAACACTGTGATTATTTTCCAGCACAATTTCTTTCCTTATAATTTTATCTAATCTCTTAGCTACTTTATATGCTGGAGAAGGCATGAAATTTACTAAAGGTCGAATTGGGACATCTGGTTTGTGAATTTTCGGAAGGCCCCTGAGGACCGGTGCTGAGGAAGAATTCGAGATATATAGAGCCGTCAAATCAGACATGGATAATGTTTTAAACGACCAACTTTATTTTAATTCAAACGTCATATACAACACTGCAATAGAAATACTGGAGAGGGAAGGGGAGGGCAGAGACAATGGGAATGGAACCGACGAGCGATAAGAAAATGCGCGTGATGCTTGACCAGCTGTTTACCCTACAGTCTAGACGCAACTTCCGCATTATCAACACGGGTCCGCTTGTCGAGTTTAATGTTTTTATCGGCCGTATATGTGTGCGCACTATGTGTTTATTCGTCGTGTGTTTGTGTGAATGTGATAAAACTGCTACTGACGACCTTCATATGAAGTAATATCATCCTTGTACTCACCTGATGATGACCTCCTAGCAGGTTGAAACTAGTTGTGAAGACAACAATTGGATTGCAAGAATAAGGTATTTAAACCACTATCATAGTTATTATTCGCAATCCGGAGGCTACTCACACAACAATGAAAAAAAAAAACAAATGACCGCGGCAAAATTAAGTAAATGCAGCAATTACCGTAGCTACTTTGCGTCCTATAATCAGTATATGGAAACCCACTTTGTCAGGTAACTGTTGGAAATAGTTATTTGTGTAACTAGTGGGTGAAGTGGTACTTTGCTGCACACAAGAGAAATGTATACGCACAAGCCGTAGGCAAGTGTGGAAAGTTTCTCGAGTGCAACAAAGGCAGTTTGCACTCGTGTTACGCATTATATTTTCTCCACAGTTACTTTAAATTATATAAATAATTAGTCTTTCAAACACTGAACGCCTAGTTTTTAGGTTAGGCTAAATCCAAACATTGAACACAATGGGAAATGCTGCACCAGCTGATCATGGCGTTGTAATATCTTTAAGTGTAAACACCTATTTCCAAGCGTACACGGATTACGTGCTTTATAAAAGCACGCTGTTTTGTGTTGTTTGGTTGGAATAATGGTATGCGACAAAGTAATTAATTAAGTAAATGCAGCAATTAGGAGCTTTCTGTACAATAATCTGTGCAAGGAAGCCCACTTTGTTGGGTGACTATAGGAAAACTAAATTTGTCTATTGTTTACAGGTTCAGAACCTGCTTAATTGTGTAAAAGTGGCTGAAGATTTTGTCTCCCCAGAGAATGTGTCACAGTGCTTACACCTAACCCAAGAGTTCAGAATACTCTCAGATTTGCATACAAACCATGAAGACAAACTTCAAATCAAAAATATAATATACCATTCTGTGAAGGATGCTATATCAGTGTTGTCTCATTTTCCCATGTCAAGTTAGATGAATTTCTAATAGCAGAACTTATAATTTTAAAATGTAAATATTTTAAGAAAGAAAACATTATTAAATCACATTTAGTAGAAATTCAGATTTGTAATTTTTAATTAAAAGTAGGTATTTACCTTCGTCTACAGCTCAATCTGTTGTAACTTGAGTTACGGCCGTTTCGGCATTATAATGCCATCGTCAGACGTTGAACATTCAGCTGAAGTAGCGTCGTCATAGTGTAAATATGACATCGAGCTATGAAAACCAAGCTCGAAGGTAAATACCTACTTTTAATTAATATCACAGCTCAGGGGCTAAAAATGGATTTTAATTGTAATTTTTATATGAAGCTTGGTTCTTCTGTTTATATTGATGATGAGCTTAATCTTCCAAAAAATGTCATTTCACTCAAATTGGGGTCGGTGAACACGAAACATAAAACACCGATGGACATTGTGCAAAAATTTATAACTGGCCAGTACAGGACACTTAATACACCGCACGGGTGGATGCGTTGTCATGACTGAGGTGTCCTCGCTCCTTTCCCATATTTTAGTAATGGTAAGCTTTTTCCATCACCTTCCCCTAATGTTTTCAAACTAAGAATCAACAAATTTATCTTCAATCTTGATATAGTAGAGGCTGACTATCATCACAGCTAGTGATGTAAAATTCCCAGGAATTGAAAATCCAAGAAATCTTCTCAAAATTCTTAAATTCCCAGGATATTTTAGACTAACTAGCAAGGTAGGTTTAAAAACTGTGACTAAATAAGTAAGAGCCGTAATTATATAGTCAAACCGTGCACAAAAACTGAAATATATTACAAAAATGTTATTGAAATAAATAAATGGAAATTTATAATTTTTTAAGCTAAATTGTTCAAACCAATATGTCACTTTGTAAGTTGTCTGATTTAACAAAACACAAACACTCTTATATGTTCAAAAAGTATTTAATACATACATCAGAAAAATAACCTAGTAAATACCCTGGAAAAAATGTTATTTGAACAAATTTGTTGATTTAACATATTAAATTAAGACTACATATTGAAAACAAAAAGGTTTGATGGTAAATATTTATATGACATATTTGCTTTCCGTATTATTTATTTAAGTTTCCTGGTCATTGTCACTCTCTTATGTCCATTACATTTAATTCTTTCATTCTTCTCTTCTTCTACGTCACCAAATAAAATAAGATCGTCTTCATTGTTACTTGCTGTTGACTTGATCTCAGCCTCATCACTTAACTTTTCTTCGATCTCAAGGATATCTTCATTTTCTTCCTGTACTCCTGTTTCCTCTGAGTTGCCTTCTGCTTACTTACTTGTCCTATTCTCTCTTGGAGGTTGAGCATTCATGAGCTTCCAGTTGTGAGAAAGAATTGTGAGTTTTGCTGCTTGCTCAGATGAAAGTCGGTCTCTTTTCTTGGAATGCATCCAAGGAAATGTACTACATGTACGCTCTGTGGCAGCCTAAGTTACTACTGATGCCCCTAATATTCTTATGGCTACAGCTACCAAGTCGCAGGTACCTCTCAACCCCCTCCACCACCGTGACAGAGGCTTGATAATTTTATCCTCATTTTCGATCCTACGAACGAGTCTACTGCAGTTGGTTAGTCATTAGTAGTTGGTAGCTAATGTGTTAACACCTTCCCTACCGACCGTCACACTCCCCTGTAAACTGAGGGATGAGTATAGTTGGTAGCCTATGTGTTAATATCCCTTTTGTTTGTTAAAACTGTAATGTAGGCTACTCTAGCATGCAATGTTGATAGTTGTAGGCCTAACTCCTTAACACTAACACTAATACCGAAACACCGGTCTGACAGGCCCACGGGAATTTTCAAAAACGCATGTTGGCAACACTGTTTACTTGGTAGATTCCATTCCCCCAATACCTTCCCCCCTTTTCCTCCCCTACCTATTGATCATTTGTTCATTTTGCATGGGTGCCGTGACCTTGACAGGTCGTCTGTTCATAACATGTCCGTCTCAGAAGCCCAGCGTTGGTGTATTTTAAAGCGGGGTCTCACAGACCGAGGGTTTCGGTTTGTGTGTTTCTAAGCGGAGTCCATTATTTTTCAAATGGGGTCTCACAGACCGGTGGTTTCGGTTAACGTCAGCCAAGGTGGGGTTTCGGTATTAGTGTTAACAATACCAAGTTGTTAAGCTGGAAAACATAAAGAAGCAGGGAATTTTAAAATGTGGATTGTTATAAATATGTTAGGCCAAAGGATGTTTTAAAACATGAGTTCTAAACAAAGTGCTTCATATATAAATACCTCAAGTTTTTTAATTTTTTTTTATATAGTTTAAGAATTTAAATACATTCAGATCCATAAATTCTAACCTTTTTTATACAGGAAATCAATGCATGGAGTGACAACTATTAGATAAAAAATGTATGAATTTACTTAGGTAACATAGTTTTAAGGTTTTCTAACTGTCAGTATATGTTAAAACGTTCAAAATTTTAAAATGTTCATAAGTTCCCAATATTTGGGAATTTTTCCAGTCCTGGGCTTAAGTCCCGGCAATATTCCCATTTTAGAAGTTCCCTAAATTGTTGTTTTGAAGTTCCCACTGGGAATGTCCCCGACTCACATCATGGTGTACCCACATCACTAATCACAGCTGATTATCTGTGCGTTTGACCCGACCCTCGCCCCTTCCATCCTGGGCCTGCATGAATCCAGTAGATAGTCCCCACCTGATCAAAACTGTATTTTGTTTAACTTTTCTTATTTTAAACCCTAGTGAAAATTTCATCTATAGGCCTTTTGTTGGTTTTTTATTTTTTATTACAAGTTGCAGTTTTGCTCGATTTCGAGCAACAGCTAGGTTATCTAGTATTACTTAAATACTAAAATACTATTTACACTGTGGCAATGGCTAAAAAAAGGCTCGTTGCCTAGTTCTTCGAGGCTGTAAAGAGGCCTATTAACCAGCTTTCTCTTTAAAATCATGAAAAATCAGGGCCGTCTTAAAATCATCTAAGTCCAGATTGCGCACATGAACCGGCAAGGAATTAAACAGCCTTAACGCCGACCGAGGATAACTCTTCAGTGAGCGTGCTAATTAAACGGCATCTCGGCAGATCAACATCACAAGCTTGGCGGGTATGGTGGCTATGTACATTGTCTCTGACTACAAAATGGTGAATGTTTACCTTCAGCAGGGTTAAGATGTTAAGGACATACTGGCTGTAGACAGCCAACACACCCAACTCCAGGAAGATAGGCCGACAGTGTGCTTTGTAGCCAGAAGATGTTATTATTCTCATCGCCCTCTTTTGTAGTAGGAGTAATTCCTGTGTCGATGGAGAATGACCCCACAGAAACAGGCCATACGTGAGGTGACTGTGAAACAGTGCGTGGTACACCGCTAGCAAATACGGTCTGGTAATGGTGGTCCTAAGCCTCCTTAAAAGGTGAAGAACACTTGAGAGCTTCAATATGGTGGTGCCAACTTAGCTTAGAATCCATCCAGAACCCAAGCAGCTTCACGCTGTTGTCCTCAATGCCGATCTTCTAGGAACACATAAGGGTCTGAGTCTTCTCCTCGTTGATCTTGAGTTTGTTGGCTATAAACCAGTCCTTGGCCAGCCTTAGGGAGTTGTTTGCCTCCTCCAGCAGCGGATTGATGTTCTTACCCTTTGTGACTAAGGTGGCATCATCTGCAAACAGGAGGGCGTGACTGGTAGTAGCAAGGTCATTGATCATGATTGTGAAAAGGAGAGGGCCCAGAACCAATCCCTGCGGAACTCCATGGGGAAGAGAGCCCATAGTAGATGAAGCTCCGATGATTGTCACTATTTGTTTGCGGTTACCAAGGTAGTCCACAAGAGAGCCGAAAACTGCACCGCCAATTCCGTATTTTCTCAGCTTGGCCAGAAGAATGTCATTTGACACAACGTCAAAAGCCTTGCTGAGGTCACAAAGGCTGACGTGGACCGATTCATTTTCCTCGACAGTGGCGGCGGAACCAGGGGGTCAGGGGGGTCAGTTGACCCCCCTGAAATTTTAGGAAGGGTCAGGGGGGTCAATGGTCAGGGGTTCATATAAAAAATTTAAAGATATAAAGCATTCCGTACTGTATACGTTTATTTTTTCGGCCCAAGAAGAAAAGTATAAGTAGGCCTAATAACAGTTACTGAAGATAAGTACAAAGACAAACGTTCCACGATGACGCAGAAGAGATTGAACCATCTTGCCATCTTATCCGTCCATAGGGACATTACTAAATCTATTGATGATAAGCACATTGCAAGAATGTTTGTCAATAGAGTTGAAAGTCGCTGTGCGGTTTTCGGGAATTTCAAAGATTGGAGTTCAAGTTAGGGCCTACTGAAGTTTCATCAGCAGAAGTTTAAAAATCTAGTAAACTTGTAGTAGGCTAATATCTTGAGATTCTCGTGTGGGGTTTTACTTATTTTAGCAATAATTCATCAAAAAGGTTTTGTATTTCTTAGTAATTTTATGTTGTGCCAATACAATGTTTGTCATGTTTTTTGTGTAAACCATTTTTTATCCCCAGTGGACACACTTACTTGGTTATACCCTACCGTCTTACTTTTGTGATTAACTATAATCAAGCAGCCAATTTTAATTTAACTTATTATTAATTCAGTTTTGAGGGGGAGGGGCAGAGCTTGCCGAAATTACGCGAACACATAAATCCCTAGGGCCTAGAGCTTGTTTACTCTTCTCTGTCGTCTGCAGCAACTCATTGCTGACAGCTTTAGTAAAATCTGGGCACCAGTACTTCATTTTATGTTTGTTTGAGATGTATGTGTATTATTTATTAATGTTTTTACAATGAACAGAGTAGCGTCTTTGTTAAATTGTAAATTTTCTTTGTTACTGCTTAAAGAAAAATGTTCTTCAGGTAGCCTAAAAACACGTTTTAAGGCTTTTATTTTTCAACATTTTCCCGGGGGGGGACCCCCGGACCCCCCTTGGCCCCTGGGGGGTATTCCATACCCCCCAGACCCCCCGGATGTGGACCTCCACCATAGGTTTCTGACCCCCTAACAAAAATTTGCTTCC